TCTTAACCAATTGTCAGCGAAAGTTGGCTGAGATTACAGATATGGTTCACGTGTCGCAGGTCTTACACCGAGGGGTTGTCGATCTGTCCATTAGTTCCAGCGCTGATGATGGCATCGATGCTAAACTTCGAGAAGACTTGCATTTAGGGAACACTATATCCGTACTGATTGGCGATTTCCTATTAGCCCAGAGCTCCAGAGGATTGGCTCTCATTCGCAATCCATCCGTAAGTCTTTGCTGAAGACTCTTCAGTGTATTTAATGTCTAACGAGTGGATTAGCGTTTGATTAATTGTTATGTGCTTTTGATAGATAACTGGTTTTATAGCCAAAGCCATTGGACACTACTCTGAGGCAGAGTTCTTGAGATCAGATCTCTTGAAAAGTAAGAATAGTATGGATTCGTTGGAGAAGTACTGCTTTTTAAGCGGCGGTTCACTACTCGCCCACAGCTGTCAGTCGGCCATACATTTAGCACAATATGACCAACAGATCCAAACTGAGGCCTTCGACATCGGCAAACACATTGGGATTGCGTTTCAGGTATTCTTACTCTTCGGTCACCACAAGAATCACTGATTTATATTTCATTTACAGCTGTCAGACCTGTTATACCGTTCCCTAAACAGTGATAATAAAAGCAATAGTTTTGATGACATTAATGGCGTTACTTTTGACACGACTTCTATGAAAAATTTGTTGTCCGCGAGTGTCGGGAAAGCCGTCAATTTGATCGACAGTTTGGACAAATCGGAGGCCAGGGATGCCCTCAAAGACATTGTGTTGAATATAGTGAACGTACAAAATGTTAATGCATTTCATTAGCGTTTTGCGAATAAAGTGCCGGTTTTTAGTTAAATATTAAGTATTATTCATTGAATAATTAGTAATTTTTGAGAAATTAATTATTTTTTATTAAACAGTTTATCATTTATCTAAGTTTAGACTATATTTGAATAGAATTAAAGTGTTGTTAATTCTGTACTTAATTTATAATTATTTAAGTTTTATTGAAATTTAGTAATTAATAAAGAAATTATTTAAAAATTATTTGCTTATCTATTTAAACATTAACTATTTACAATATTAAATTTAATTCATAAACTACTGTTAAATACTGTAGTGATACAGATTTGAATCAAGATAAGTTTTGGAGCAATTGTTTTAAAATCATTTCACAGATGTCTCACTAGTGATCACAATTGACAATACAGTACTGGTATTCAGAATCGACAGAATTTTCATGATACTGTACTAACTATTGTATTTTTATTTGTACTTATAAAATTGAATTATTATTTCATAGAGATATTTTTGTTAGTATACTATACTATATGTTAAGGAGATGTATGTGCACAATATACTACAAGTGCTAAAATAGGTACAAATCATGTAATAGTCAATACACATTTCAAAAGCAAAAGTTCATATTTTAATTAATATAACAATATTCTATATTTATTACTACCGGTAATAACTATTGCCATAAAATAAAATTCCACTACAAATAGAATATTCTATACAAGCTAATTTTTATAAATTAGTGAAGCAAATATGATTACAAAGTTTTTTTATGCAAAGTAATATTTTTATTAGTAATATTTAATTTAAATAAGTTGTTTATAACTTGAAAAACTTAGTTTACTTTTAAATCAAATAATATTGCCCGTATTTGCATTCAAAACATAAGACTGTTAGTATGTAATACAGTATATGCCATGAAATTTACAAGAATTTGCTTTTATAGAATATTCTGTTTGTAGTGTAATTTTATTTCATGATAATAAGTATAAGTAATAAATATAAAATAATACCATATTAATAAAAATAGATTTTAACTTATATAAATTTTAAGAATATGTTTGTTTAGTTTATAACTTATAATATGCTTATTTGAGTTAATTTATATGTTTTTATAGATAACTAATTCTAAGTACTTTAAGAGTTATATAAATCTTTTAGAAAATATCTCAAGTGTTATATGAAACATATTACAGTATATTCATTATATGATTATAAAATAATTTTAAATTTTTAGTTTTTAAACACTAAACATTTGAATCTAGGTCTTTATAATATTTTGTAAGAAATATATTATTCACATTAAATTTTTTGTTACTGGTTAATAATATAAAATAAAACAAAGTGTTTTTGAGTAGAAACACGAATTAAAATCTTATTTTTGATAAATAAAATATTTTTTGAAAACAAGTAGAAATTTTTATTTAATTAAATTTATAATATATCGATGAAATACTTTATAAGATTTTATTTGTTATAATTTGTTGAGAATCAAAATTTTAAAAGGATATAGAGTAGATTGTTTCAAAAACAGGTTGCTAAACAAATCGATAAAATTACATTGCTTAAACCATTAAATTTTAATTTTCAAAATTAAAATCACCATTTTTTATCAATTTTGAAATAGATGTAAGAAATGAACGCATGGATAAATGCAATAACAATAATAAAACACAGATTTAG